ATTTTATAAATATAATAATTAACTATTCTGTTAAAATTTAATGATTATACTAATTATATTTTAGATTTTTTATATTTAAAATGAGATGTTTATCCTGTATTTGATTGTGTTTATCTGCAGTTAGTTAAACGAATTCAGATATGGGATGAATTCGGATATGGATGAACAGGTTTAAGAGTTTTTAAGAGTTTTAGCCAAATGCTTTATAAGATAGTATAGATAAGAGAGTACTTAAATTTATGTACTTCTTGTTAGGTAACTTGAAACCAAAAATATAAAAACTATGGTTGATAATTTTTTTAAAAAAGTAAGAATTTTTAGTTCATAACAAGAAATATGTGTTATTTTGATACAAAAAAAGAATTCGTGTGAATGAAGTGATCGTGAGGGTCAATGAGAGATCAATAATAAAGAAGATTATCAAGATTTTCTAGACAAGTAAACAAATGATAATCAATAATAATATGAAAGAAAAAATGATCCATTGAGATATAATAAGAATAAATAATGAATTAAACATATAAATATGCAAGTTCAACAAATGATTGTTTGAACACTTGAATAAAATATTGTGGTGTGACGGAATCTCAATAAAAGATACATAAGTCAAACAATTGATGAAAATATTTAAATTATATTTTCCTTCGTTTTTTTAAGTAAAATAAGATGTTAAAATTAAAGTTTATGGAACATGACATAGATAAGAGACATTAAAAATACATCCAAAATTAAAGTTATACTTATTTTATTTTATAGATAATAAAATATTTAATTCAATTATTAATTAATTAATCAGATTGTGAATTTGATCAAATTTATTTTTATTCTATTTTATATGTAATGATTATTTATAATCATAAATTAATTTAGATTTTTCTAGAATGTGTTTTAACAAATTCAAAATTTATAATACTTATAATAACCAATTTGAAATAATTTTAATCGCAGTATATTGAAAAAGTAATTATGAATAACAAATCAATAATATAATTCCTAATAATTTATAAATCAATATATGAAATAAAAAAAATAAAATGCGGTTCTTATTTTTAAATGATGAAACTCATAATTAAGTGATTGTGTTTTTTTGGGAGTCCAATAATTGAATGAAGAATAATTCAAAGAATTAAATAAATTGATCCACTTGATAACTTCTGCTCTTGATCCTATTTGGAAATTGGAAACATGTATTTATTAATTTATTGAAGATTTTGAATATTGATATTGATATTTTACAGAAATTTTAAAAAGTTATATTTTAGAGAAACGTATTTTTTATGGTACCATTCATCTGTCTAAAGGTGGGTGCCCAAATGTAGGATCCTTATTGAAACCGGTTCCACACTCTAAGATCCTCTACGACTCTGATCAATGTATCATCGACAAGCTGATGTTTTTGACGGTCAAGAAAACCCACCTCTACCAACATCAACAAACAAACTCAGACAACATTAGCGTGTGATAGATCCTCCATGTGGCTAAACTGCCTAATCGCCTCAGAAATCCTTAGGTGTGTAGGATCGTATCGTGTGGGTCCTGTTGCGGCTGGGAACACCCTACAATTAAAAGAGTCATCTCGTAGGGAAGGTAGGCCGGTCTCCGGTCCGAAACGGAGTTATGTCAAAAGACAAAACTCCTTCGGCCCGTATCGGATATAATGCCAATCAATGTCAAACCACATCTTGTGTTCCCCTCCATTCTCGGGGAATACCTGTCTTTGCAAGAACATGGGGTCTCCACCACCCATTGTAATGTCCAACCATAGACCTACACAGGTGTTGCGAAAGAGGGGCAAACTCACAGGACTCAAGGCAAAGTTGATATCTGATGCGACAAATATCTGGCACTTGAGCATCAATGACACCCAATAAAAATCCTCCTACAAATCGCGATTCAATCAATTGCTATGATTACAGGGACCAAATCGCCAAATATATAAGTGCACAGACCTAATATGTAATTACAGGGACCAAATCACCAATTACGGACCTAGGATATTACGGACAAGAGTAGAAACTGTAAATTTTGTTGTCATTTAGCTGGGTCCGCGATTGCGGACCTGTGACTATTTTGGTAAAAATGGGGAGAACATGGTTAAGAGGTGAAACCAACCTTGAAAAATGACTATTTTAATTAATTTTTCTTTATTTTTTAATCATATATGTCCAAATTCTTATTAATACTCTGTTATTCATAAGCTTAGGAACTTGTCGAGGTCGATCAACTTTCTCTTAATAATTTATTTAAAACATTTTCTAAAGATGTATATATTTGAGAACTAATAAATCATATGTTATTGAATTAAATTTAAATCCAAACTAATTTTAGTTTACAAATTTTGGTAAGTTTGTTATGATGAACAAAATTTTAGGCAGGTATTTAATTATTGATTAATTTTTTTTATTATATTAATTCTATTTTGGTAAGGGAAAAAGATAATTCTTTAATTAATTAATATGGGGAGATGGAGATCTTTATTGATTTTAAGTGCATTTGGCTAACAAATCCAATAAAAAAATTCCAGGTAAGCACAACCTCGAGTCAACATAGGAGTTGACCTACAACATTATTTTCCAAGGTGGCTTTTTAAGAGAACCATTTTTTAAAACCTTCGTTAATGGAAAGGATGGTAAAATTATTTAAATTTAATTTAAAAATAATTATTTAAGAAAAAGATATAGTTTTTTTTACTAATAAGAATTTAGAAATAAAATAATTAGAAGTGAAAAATAACAATTTTATTAATTATGTATTAAATGTTTTAATAATTTTATTAATATTGTAATCTTTAAAATAAAAAAACTTTTGAAATTAAATATAATACTTTTTGGAAATTTTGGCTTTTGGATCTCTATTTTGGAGAATCTATTGAAAATGCTATACAGATTTAAATAATAGATCAATGGGTGAAAACACCTGTTTATATCAAAATTAAATCAGTTAATACGAGTATTGTCATGTGAAATATGAATTATGGATTAGGTCCCCAACAAAATAATTACAAGTATTGTCATTGTGGTTTCATTTTTGTTATGAATTGGGTCCCTTAACGTAACTCTGTTAACTTAGACTTCGTTGCACGACACATATGAGAGGTTTTTTTTTTTTTTTGTCATTTTATTATTTAGTTTGATGATTCTTTTTTTTCTTTTTGTACAACTTGGAATGTTAATTGTACAACTCTTTTGAAGCAATAAATGAAGAAAAAGAACATGTGACTAACACTGGTATTTTATCAGACATTTCCCATTAACCCCGACCTTCCTTTCCTATGACGTTGTCACTTTTTTTCCAACAATTTACCTTTTTCTCAACTCCGGCCACCACAACATCCTCTCTTTTCGTTCATCATCCGTCCTCAATACTTCATCCATCAATAAAAACTTGAACAAACATGGCCCTCAATGTGAGACTCCGAACTGAAGGCAATGGACATCCCTATGAGACTCCATCGTTATCAAACTCATATCTAAATCCCTAGATCTCTGGTGTGTGTGGGGAACAAAAATGAAGATGATGAACATCAATAGGGTATTTTTTGGACAGGCATCCACTCGACTCCCTCTGGGAAAGATAAAGATGATGGATGTCGAACCCTTTCTTTCTTCTGGTGAAGTCCTTGGGTTGAAGAACTTGTAGGAAGCATTTCAAATTTCTGAAAGTCGAAGCATATGCATGAACTCCATCTGTTCTCTACAATTTTTGGGTATGGGTTTAGGTTTTTGATCAAGGTTTTATATTTTAAGTTATGGTTTTCAAACATGGAATGGCTTTTAGGGTTTTTGATTTAGATTTAAAGTTCTTGATGTTATGTCATTCATTAGTTCATGACATATTTCATGTTCTTGTTAATAATTTTGATAGTTTTTCTTTGTGTCTTTGATTTTATTACGACTTTTTCTTTGGATTTAAAAAAAATGGAATCTAATAACAAAAAAACGAGATTTGCACAAGTGGAGGTAAAGGTGGAGTTTTGTTGGTGGCTTCTTTTTAAAAAATGGGTCTCGGTTGTTGATTTTGTTCTTCATAAATGAGGATTTTCTGTTGATTTTATACTCCAAAAATGGCTTTAAGTTGATTTTCTATTGTGCATACGAGAGATCTCTATGTTTTTTAGTTGTCGAAGATGACGACTGGTGGATGGTTGGATAAGATGCCCGCTCTTTGGGTCACCGCCATAGAAAGGGAGGGCCTGCCTAAGAATAGGAGACGAGGGATGGTTTTAATTTATGTTTTTTTCTTTTTTCTTTTTAGCTTTTACATCGTACAAACTACATTGAAACATGTACATGAAAGAATTATTAAAGGAATGGTGAAATGACTAAAATGTCCTTTATACGAGGGGCAAGTGACTAAACCATGGTAATGATGTTTGTAATTATTTTGTTTGAAGGATCCAATCCGTGATTTCTTATAACCACAAGGATGAAATTTATAAGTTAGTCTAATCATAATAGTGATCATTAAGTATCTTTTTTGATACGTACATACTTTAATAATAAATTAATTTAATGATTTACTCCTAATCAAAGACATTAAATGATCTTATGTACATATTTAATTATATATATTCCACTAATTGATTTTGGGCAGAAGTTTTAAGGAAAAAATTTTAAAAAAAACCCAATGACATCTAGTGTTTGAAATAATTAAGTTTTTGAACATTTCAAAACTTGTTAAATAACTTCTTGAATTTTATAAACCTGTTAGATACATTCTTATGACTTATAAAACTGATTAATATGCTAAAATAATAAAAAAGTTTGAAAAAATTCCAATGAACTTTCATATTTTTGAACTATTAAGTCTTTCATTTTTTGTAAATGTAAGTACTTTTTGGTATATTTCTTTCATTTTATAGATGTAAATACTTTTTTGGTTCAAAATATGAAAGTCCATTGGTTTTTTTTTTCTCATATTTTTTCCATTATTTTACCATATTAACCAGTTGTATAGGTCGTAAAGATGTATGTAACAAGTTTTACAAGTTTTGGAATGTTCAAAAACTTATTTGTTCCAAAAAATTATCCAAAAACTTAATCATTCAAAACACTAAATTAAGACATTTCCCAAGTTTTAAAGTTATACAATTATCAACCGGTATGAGACGGATGGCAAATAATGCTCGTCATAAACTTATCGAATTATTGAACTCGAAAGTTCGATCAAAACGGGTTTACAGTTGATAATAGAAAGACTCTGTATCAAATGAAACCTATCGTCCGACATGAATCAATCAAAGATAAGCTACGGTTTGTCATTATCTTTACAAAGATACAGCCAGCTTTGCAAACAGCCAAGCAAATATATATTGCATCATTCCACTAACTCCATTCCATATCTATTATATATATATATAAACCTAATTTCACCCTCCAAAATTCAACACCAACAAGTTTTCATGGCTTTTCCGCAACAAAAGTTTCTCCTTTTATGTTTTGTTATTTGCAGTAGTTTGCTATCATCGGTTTCTTCGCGAGGTGCAGTTTATCAGCCACCGAACGTTGAGAGATTAACCGATCGTTTCCCTACAATGCCAATCACTCAAGGGATGACTACGTTGTTTGGAGCATCAAATATTCATCTGAAGAACAATGGATCATTTGTTGACATCGTTCTAGACAAAACCTCAGGTATTATATATATATATATATATATATATATGAGCGATCAAATACAAACCATCCCTTTTGTGCAAACCCTACAAACCAATCTCATCCGTCTATTATTACTGTGTTTATTTGTATATATTTAGGTTCTGGATTGATTTCAAAGAACAAATACTACCATGGATTTTTTAGTGCTGCAATAAAGCTGCCAAAGGGGTTTACATCAGGCGTAGTACTAGCTTTCTACGTAAGTTTTATTAGTTTTCACTTGCAAACTATATATCTGATAATAATAATCGTTTTCTAACACTTAAAATGGTATGATTTGATTTTGTGGCATGCATACATGTTCAGATGTCAAATTCAGATGAATTTCCACATAACCATGATGAGATAGACTTTGAATTGCTTGGCCATGCGAAAAGAAGGCAATGGGTTCTGCAAACAAATATGTACGGAAATGGAAGTGTTAGAACCGGAAGAGAAGAAAAGGTGTACCTCTGGTTTGATCCCACACAGCAGTTTCATCAATACACCATCCTTTGGAACAGCCACCACATTGTGTAAGTCCTTGTTACAACGAAATCAACTTTATATAGGTTAATATGTCTGAATGTGTTAAGACTCCTTTATAGAACTTATATAAAAGGGTTACAATGTTCAGACGTACTCGGATATCATAACTGTTATTTTAAGACACTTTTGAGATAAAACGTCTATATTTAGAAATATATAGCGTCCCCAGACGGAACATGATTATATTTATGTGTCTTTGATGAACGAGTTTATGATGATCTTTCCTACAGGTTTCTAGTCGACAACATACCTGTAAGAGAGGTAATCAATAATCAAGCCATCTCATCTGTCTACCCATCAAAGCCGATGTCGTTGTACGCAACCATATGGGATGCTTCAGATTGGGCGACGGATGGAGGAAAATACCCTGTCAACTATAATTATGCACCTTTCGTGGCGTCGTTGGGAGAATTGAAACTCGAAGGTTGTATTACAAAAAATACAATCTCGCCAACGGCTGCTGAATGTTCAAAGAATGCAACCCGTCCAAGCTCGGATATGGTGGAAGGAGCGAATTATGCAAGACTGTCGAAACAACAGATGGCTGGATTGAATTGGGTTAGGAGAAAACATATGTTTTACTCGTATTGTAAAGACACAAAAAGATATAAAACATTGCCGGCTGAGTGCAATGCTCGCTAATTCATTGTAATTACATGTGACGTTCCATTTTTTAGGGTTAAAGATTGTGGGAGCAAACGAACCAAAGCTCATATCGTCTTGGTACATTAACGAACAATTTGTAGATAGAATTTGTTAATTTCTCTCCTTTCCTTGTTTATTTATCGAAGAAAAATTGTCTTCTAATTTCATATTGATGAGCTTCATTTTGAGTGAACGGAGACCAAGCAATCACCAAACCGTGGCAACCGTTGTGGGTGGTGGAAGAGGAACAACGTTGGGTCGATACTGCATTTTTATCACGTTTAAATATCGAATAAAATCGAAATGTATTTTTTTTATTGATATTAGTTGCCTTAAAACTAAATCCTAGTATGATAATCGAAACAAAACATTGAGTGAATTTGTCACACTACAAGGAACGGGGGTTTTAGAGAAGGATCTGGAAGCGTATCCAAAGGTGATTTTTAGATAAGGAATTATATGACGAAAATGAGAAGTGTAACTGAATGTAAGATGACTTTCAGAGAAGTTTTTGGAACTAGATTACTGGCTACATAAATCGTCTTCAAAGCTTTTAGAGACGCTTTTTATGAAAATCGTCTCTAAAAGTCGAGTTAGAAGCTTTAGCAACGTTTTTGAATACGTTTCTAAAGAATAAATGATTTTTATTTTTTATTTCTAAAAATAACAAAAAAAAAAAAAATTACACGTTATAACTTTCTAAACAATATTGTTCTAATGAACTTCTTTTTACAAGTTTCAATTAGAGAGGAAACAAATAAGTTGGTTGGTTTGGTGAAACAACTTTAACAAAATACTTATGATTTAAAGAATGAGACGTATATATGAATTTCCCCCATATTTCATGTGAGTATTTGATCCAAAGTAGTGCTCATCGTACTGCGTGGAGTGGGCACTCCCTTTCGAAAGCCAAATCACAACAAATATTCACACCTCTTAGTCAAGATCTCATATGTTTACTTTTACCGTTTTGTTTTGTTAGTGATGACCCCTGATGAACCTTCTCAGGTCCAACTGAATGTGTAGGGACAAATACTCTTAAGTGTTTCTAATACACCAACTAGTTTGCCTACTACTCGAGTGGGTTGGAGTTCATTTTACTATGCAAATCCAACTCTCGTTGGTGTTACAAGAATGCTCTCGAATCCACTAGCATCACCCAAACTCGTGTCACTATGTTATACTCATCTATAGGTTGAGAATTAGACTTTAGACATTTTCAAGATATCAGCTTGTTCGCGTCATTGAATATTATCGAACAAAAGCTTACCAAAATGATAAAAGTTCAACATATAAAACTACTCAAGCGTTTTGCACAAAATTTGGGTACTTTTCACCCCTACATCTCACAAGATGTTTAGTTCATACTTTAGAAGGAAAAGAAAACATAAAATAATAAGATTACAAGTAAACATACTTAAAGATTTTAACTTCAATAAAAGTCACAGTGTCCAATACTGAAAATAAAAGTTACTGAAAATTATAACTACAGCTCTATCTAGTGAAGATTACTTTATCTCTAACTTACAAAATAAAACTTTCTAATCAAAAAATAATAAGGTGCATATGTTTTCAGGCCATACTTCTCCATTATACTAGAGGTAAAATAGTTGAGGAGGAAACTATGGGAAGGTATTGTCTCCTCAACTCTTTTACCTCTAGTATAACCTTTCCCACCTGTAAAAAGAAACCTTTCATCAAAATGTAGACCATACATGCCTTTATCTTCTGGCTTTACGACTCCTTTTTGCCTCCAGCCAAAATTAAGCTTATTCAGGAACTTTCTCTATTACTTTTTCGGCTACTAAAAATGTCTTCATCACAAGTTTGACTTTCGATTTTTCATAGTCGCTACTCTGTGATTCCATTTTGGATAATTTTTCAATTTTTCAGCAAAAAATAGCACAATATAATTCAAAATCATTTAAGTGAACACTTTCTGCACATAAGTGAATATTAGACAAAAAAATGGGGGTTTAAGAAGCAAAATGACCGGAATTGACAAAAGAATATTAAAATTAAAGGCATGTAACAACTCTAAAAAATAGAGTTATCAGTAACATATATGGGATAATAATTCCTAAAATACTACGTATATATCTATATGTATTAAAGTTATTATTATATGATAAATTGATCTTATCGTTGTACTTGCATACAATTTTACTAAGGATGTCGAATTCCTACATATCAATGATATCTCTTTGGAGCCATCAAACCAAAAGGAGGGAAGGTGTTGGAAACACTTCTAATACTGATGTAGATTGAGAATTCAAATGTATAAAACATTTATTTTATAGTTATTAGTTAGTTTATTTTTCTTTTTTTCAATCTTGAGTCTTTATTTTCTCATTTATTATTTATGGAGCTAAATGTATGATTTATTTGTCTTTTACACTATTGGATGACTAATATAAATAAATTATAGGTTGTTTGGTGCTGTAGCATTCCTGCAGTATGAATCTGGTAGTTTTCGGCTTTTTTGAAGGGCTTAATGAGCTAAGCTGCTGAGCACACCTTTTTGTTATTAGAAGACTACGATCTGAAGACCTTTTGGAATATTCATGGCTACTACTTATTTTTGTTGATTGATGTAATAGGCTAGTAGACTTTAAAGTACTTGCCAAAGTTGACTTTATGTAACTTTGCTAATGCGACACTTTGTATTAAAAATGTAGTAAAAAACTTCTTAAGACGTCCAAAAACGTCATATAAACTTATTACAACACCTTTAGATATGACGCTTTATATTTTAGTCTTATAAAGCGGTCTATTAGGATACTTAGAGATCGGGGTGTCCTATAAACTCAATGTTGTTGTAGTGTGAAGTGCAATCAAGGCATTGATACATAGACTAAAATTATATTTGATGATATGGAGATTTATTTTTGTTATGACGTAAGTATATTTAATCTTGGGGTGATATGTATGATAAGAGGTGACCAAAAATCGGTCCCGGGCCGGGCCATAACCGGTTACGGCCGGTCCCGATCAAGACAAAAACGTTTCATAACCGGTCCCCGTTCCGGTGAAATCCTCCATAACCGGTCAAGCTTACCGGTAACCGGTTAAGCCATCCGGTCCCGGTTCCGGTCCCATAATCGGTTACGGCCGGTCCTATACAAAAAAAAAA